TGTATAGCTATAGCTATAGCAAAAATTTGTGCTGTTTTAGCAAAATTCTGTATTAAAATTCTTCATAATAAGACTAAAATATCAAAAAATATAAAAAAAAATACATTTTAGGGGATGAACAATATGTTCATGACTTCTAGTCAAAATTTCAAAATATCATTAACCTTTTTTTATAAAAAAATCTTCAAATGCAAAAAAGCCATTTTTGCATATTAGCTGTAAATTGGCATAATTATTAAAAAAGTCTAAATATACTGCGATTAATAATAAAACAGCGTATTGCGAAATATATGCATGAATTATTAAGAAAATCAATTAAGATAATGAACTACACGAATAGGCAGATTTCACGAATAGGCAGATTGATTCAGTTACGCTTTCCCGTGATTCTACACAAGAGCAATAAATTCCAGATAATTTATGATTTTTACTCTTTTCCTTCGCATCAAAGTGACGCATTTGTTCAAAATGTGCACGCAAAGATCAGAACAAAAGTACATAAGATAAAGATCTTTGTGTATATAAGAAAAGACAACTACAGTAACAAATACGATAGGAAAATTTTATAATTTCATTACGATTAACTCGTGAACTCGAGATTGCAGAAATCCTTATTATTTTAATAAGAAGATATTAATATCGCGATTGCTGCCAAAGATATTACATTTTCGAACGTCGCGACCCGATGGATCTTCAAGCCGAGGCATGCAATTATTCGAAAGATCTCCAGGAATTTATTTTGCGAGATTAAGTTGTGTTCGTAATACGGCGTTAACGGTGCTTATAGCACCGTCACGCTATTGCGGTCTTGTGAGTCACTGGAACGTAACGTGGCCGGTATAATAATATCACACGAAATTATTACGACGCGAGAATTTCTCGCGCAGAAAGAATTTAATCTCCGTGCAATTACGGGAATAACAATCGCCCGCGAGTTGAAACGGCGCGAATTCGGTGTCGCGACGTTGAAGAAACCGATCGGCACCGATTGGTCCTAATTGATCGACGCACGCAGATGTAACGTGGGGATGTAATAAATAATGAATGAGGTACCTTCCACCGCGGATCTGGCGCGGCTTCATTAATTATTCATCAAAATCTAATTTTGATAATGAAGGGGAGGAAAGATTCATATGAATTGATTATTCAGAAGGTAGGTGAAATTGAGTTTTGAAAATCTTATCAAGATCATCACAGAGGTAATTTAACATAAGCGAAGTTGAATAATAAAACTTGTCGGTGTCAGAAAAGGTGTTGGGCCTCCTGCAGAAAATTTCTTTCTTTTTTTTTTTTTGCAGGATTACAAAATACGCGGCATTTTCTAAATCTTATATTTTTTTCCCAAAAAATTCTTTTCAATTCGCTCTCAAATATTTAAATAGAGATATTAGAAACATTATTTCGATATTCGATGCAATCTTTATATAAATATATAAAATTAATGGAGCGCACAATTATATTGTACTATGATTTTCTTGCGATATGACATTCGGTCCCTTTGGGGGGGGTAAAATCTCTCGAATATTCGTCTGATTATCACCGAATGTTGATTCTACAATATTTTGAAGAGATCGTCGACAAGTCGACGGATGTGAAAAGTATTTTTATTAAAGCTCCGCGCCCCGCGACGGCGGCCATTATGACGGCGAAGAAGGATGGAAGGAAGATTCTAATTTATTATCCCCTTGAGCTAGCCCACGGTGGCTCGTCGATGTAAATCCCACCACGATCGATAGACACACCTCGGCCGCTTCGGCCGAAGGTGGAGGTTTATAACTAGTCGGGGTGAAGGAACTCTTGAATCTTGCGCGACTGTAGATAGGACGAGGGAAACTTCCTTCGGCCTGCTCGTGCCTTGGCTGGCGAAGCGAAAACTTTCCGCGGAAGCGCGTGCGTCTTTTCATACGGGCGCCGCACGTATTCCGCAATAATAAAATCGCGTTATGCCAGCCGTTCTGCGAACGCCTGTCGAATCATCACTCTCCGGAAGTAGCTCTCGAGATGCTCTGTTTTTTTTTCTTTTCTTTTTTTAAACGACTTAACCGCTTTGCATTTCCCGGCAGAGTCGGCGCATTTGCAAATGTCGACTTACAAGGAGAATTTAGAGACCGCGAACTTCGCGCTGTTTTTCCGCGCAACGGATAGGGATCCGGAGTTCCGAAAAACTCGAAGAAAGTCTCAAGGAAAAGCAAAAAGAGGAAGAGATTTTGAGTGTTCGAGTGACTTATGCTAACAAGTCGAGAGAAATCATTATAGTATATAAATAGTATCCGCAAAAGTGGCACAAAAGCAGAAAGCGCTTAGAATTATTATATTAACGCAACAATTTCATGGTTTTAGAAACGAAGGGTGTATATAATTTTTAACGCTCGCGTTTTCTCACATTTTTTCATAATTAGTTTCAACATCGGAATAACCAGGATTATCGTTGAAATGATCGGTCTTAGATATCTAGAGAGATTTGCTTAGTTTTCTCCCTCTTTCTCTCTCCAACTTTCCTGGAGGAGAAAAAAAGATTGATTGATCGCGACGAAAGGCGAATGTCCATTTTTTGATGAATTCGCCGACGAAGCGATCGTCATAAGTCGACAAAATTAATAATCTCGTTGGGAATCACTCAGAACTATCTAAATCACGCGAGCGCAATTAAGTTTAGCGGCGAATCCGCCTTCTTACGAAGCTGGAAGCGAGCTTGGTAGCATCGTGGAACGATGAATAAATAGCCGCGCAGTAACGCAACGGCCCTGCGATTTACTTTGAGATACCCACGAAATTACTGCAATACTACACAGTACGACGAGTGACGCGATCTATCGTGTATGTTCGTCAGAAACTCGATTTACTTAAAACATACAGACTCGGCCAAAGTAGAAAAATTTCGTGTACTGAAAAGCGCGAAAAAAATTTTTGTACGGGATTACAAAGATGTTCAGTCCGATAATGAGCCGATTACATATAATAAATAATTCTATCTTTGATATTCATCATTCATCCTTACACTTATATAAAATATCAGCAAAATTGCAACGAACTGAACTCGCTCGCTTTTGTGTGCCGAAAAAGCACGAAAATATTCTTAGAAAAAAAAAAAAACAAAACAAACAAACAAACAAAATTACAACAATGTTCAAACTAATAACGAGCCGATTACGTAAAATGATTCCATCTTGATGTTCGTCATTCATACTTGTATATAAAACATTAAACTATTACCTTAGTCTCACACCGCATTTTCTTTGAACAAAAGAAAAAGCAGATTAAAGTGCGATGAAATATCTTAAACATTCATTGCAGCGTTTAATTCGTGAGCAATAAATATGACAGACTCATTACAACTTAATGAAAGCGTCCCGCGCGCTTACAGACAAAGTTGTGTGTAATGCGGCAATACGCAAGGCTGTTGGTTGTCGGATTGTTATTATGGCGCGATGAAATCATTTCATGTCATGTAGAACCGCAAAGCTTCAAAACAATCTCAGATTCGTATCGGGAGAAATTTCGTCGGAACAATCGAGCGAGATGAATAAAAGCGAGCGTAATTTGAAAGCTGAAACCTGGTAATAACCTATCCCGAGTAAATAAGCACAATTCTACACTACTCGCAGAGCTTAGCTCGAGCTCTAAGCTTGGAACCTAAGTTCAGAAATAGCTTGTGCTCACACTTATCTTAGAGGAGATACTTTCGTATACTCCTCCAGAAAGTTTCGGAAGGGCTTTCTAAGGAAAAGTAAGTGGCTCACTCGAAGAGTCTCCGGTGGATAAATTAAAATCGAGTATCGTGTCGGAATAGTTGCACGTGAAGGTTTGAGGAGCTTCGAAAGGAGATTCTAACGGTCACTGCCTACTTTTTTCGCGTAAGACAATCGCGTCACGAAAGTTGTTTTAATTGAGAGCGATGCCTCGTTGCCGTGCCGTCCGATTTAGAAAAATTTCATCCTCTGATCTATCACGGTTGTTTAAAGCACGATTCAGATTAGGCTTGCAAGGCAAGTAACTTCAAACTTTTTATCGATTGCGCGGGAAAAAATAACGTGAATTTTTTAACAGATGAACTCACGCATATAAATTTCAATCACGCTATTCGTACGAAACAAAGAAACTTACTAAATTCAATGATGTCCAGTTCGTTTTGTCATCAAAAACTCGTGAGAATGTGTACTTTTATACGACGTATTTCAACGACATTGGTTGACAAGGTGTAATTATTGTATAACAAATTAACATTATTAATCATCTACACATTAGGTGTATATTTTTTAGCTGCGTGCTATTAATCTCTTTGACGTTGATTGCTCTTAATTACAATTTAAACAAAACGTGCCAACGTCATAAGTAGAAAAAAAAATAAGTTTAAGTGAAAAAAGGAAACACAATTAAAAAGTGCATTTATATTTAAAAGTGTATTCAAAGTTTAAATCTTGGCATATTATTAAAAATGCTTTAGCAAAACGTTTTTCTGCAAATAACTCTAGTAATCATAAAAAAATCATCTTTCTATGTTTGAAAAGATTATTTTACAATCTGTCCTAAAAATTCCACAGAATGAAAAGAAAACTTTTTTTATTATAATTATTATAATTTTTATTTTAAATTATTATCTTAAAATATTCTTGGAATGGAATTCATTTAAATAAAATCTCTTAACACTTTGGCAATATATTCGTCTGCAAAAAAGTGTACTTTCAAATACGAGCTACAATTTTTATGTATTTTCGTGTTACGTAACTGAATACGTGGGCGTATGCAGGATTTTTGTCGGGAAAGAGGGGATTTATCAATTTTGTTAACATATAAATAGCAGTCTTTTGCATTAACGAATTGCTCATTTAAATATGTTAGAGCTTAAAATATCTCCTCGTTCCTGATTTTAAATGAGAAAAATATTAGGTTTTGTAAATCATAACTTTAACTTTAATTTAACTTTTTTTTTTAATTTCGGAGAGGTTTGAACTTCCCAACCCCCTCTTGGATACGCCCACAGCTAAGTATAAAAAACTCACGCTGGCTCTCCGTTCTGCTCGACGCGGACGATGTTGCCGCTGAGGGTCTCGATCTCCTGTGATCGCTTCACCATATGCAGGCCCATTTTCTCCCTCGGCGAAGACACCCCCCTGACCGTATTCACGCTAACCCCCGTGTCCGTCGACCTCACACTCTCGATCGAGTCCGTGGACACGCCGGTGGATGATTTCAAGGACGCGTCGCTGCCGCGATTCTCGTTTTTCCTCGTTCGGGTCACGGCGTCACTGTTCACATTTGCGTTCACTGCACCAACCCCGGGACTCACATTGTTGTTGCTCTTCGCCACGTTGTTCGTCGCGTTGCCGCTTACTGCCGCTCCGTTATTCGTCGTCGTCCCCGCCTGCTCGGCCGCTTTGACCTTCAAATCGTTCTCCATCACCGTCGGCATCTTGTCGTTCGCCGGCACCTCACGACCGGCCATCGTCTTATTGCCGGCGGAACCGTTCTTAACTTCTGCCGAAGTCATCGAAGAGCCTTCCGATTCCTCCGGAGCTTTCCCGTCATTTGGCCTGGATCCGCGAGTATTTTGATTGTTTTTGCCGGAACGCTGATTGGCGGAAGGTTGATTGCTGGAACGCTGCTGCGCCGAACTTTCGTCGTTCATCTTGACGTTTTTGACGGATTGACCGACGCTGCCGTTCTTCGAGTGACCTCCGGTGCTACTTCTCACGCCGATGGGAGAATCCTTTTTATCGTTTCCAGAACCGATCGCTTGACTCGCCTTAACCGATTGGTTTTCGATCATCGGCGAGGATTTCTGGCTGATCGATGCCGCATTCGATGCCGGGACGGGCAACGGCGATTCGCTCTTCGATGTGGGAGAAATCGAAGACTTGGATATTCCTTCGGGCTGATGTTCTCTCTGTTCCACGAGAAGGGCATTCGCGTCGATGTGCAATGGCTGCACAGCCGTAGTCGTCGTGGTATTCACCAGACGCTCGCTGGATGTGCCGGTCGCCTGTGAAGTTTGCTTCAGAAGATCTATAAGAGCCACGTCGTCTACATTGCCCGAGTTCCCATCCATTCCGTTTTCCTTCGAACTCAGATTTTCGGATGATCGGCCGTTCTGAACGGACTGATCGGTTTGCTTGTCGCTGCTGCCTTCCTTTATAATCCTATCCGCCTTTCCGTTGCTCTCCTCGGGCATGGAAATAAACCTGCCGGTGTTCGACGAGCCGTTCACCTTGTTTGTCTTCAAGGGAATCTTCGACGGTGAAAGGAGACGCTCCTTGCTGGGACTTCTGCTCTGACCGTCTCTTCGAGTGGCGGCGGCATTGTTCTTCTGCGACGACGTTCTTGACATCTTCGTGGGAGATTGTCTCGTGGTGTCTTTCCCTCTTACGTTCGATCGAGAGATCGTCTTCTCTGGTTTCGTCGGGGTGCCTTGAATCGGCGAGAGCCGCGTCGATCCTTTGGTCATCGGCTGCCGACGCGTCGTCGTCGAGTTACCGTTGAGGTTGCTGGTGGAGTTGGAGATGAAACGAGCCTTGGTCTCAGTGAGGTTCGTACGACTTCGGGAGTCGGACTTGTTCAGATGTGTCTTCGAGTCGTTCAGCCGCGACTTGGAATCGGCCATGTTCAACCGACGCGAGTCCGAGACGTTCAGTCGCGTTCTCGAATCGATCCGGCGACCGATCTTTGGCGATGGTGAACGCTCGTTGACCTTCGTCAAGGAAGTGGACCGCTGACGGTAAGTGGGCTGCGGTATCAGGCTTCTTCTAGGACTGTTCTGTTGCGACAACGACACTGCAAGAAACGGATGATTTAAGAAGAACCGTCATTGGTCAGATTACTAATCTTGACTATGTGAAGCAGATTTCATTATTGATTAAAATTACTTTATACAGTGTCGTATATTCGGCGAACAAATTTCTATCTGTTTTCTAATAATAATAATAACATTTTTCTTTTAATTTTTAATATTGAAATTTCTTTAGCGGAACGGCAGCTCGTTATTAAATTTTAACCTTCAATATATTAATTTTTTAAATAAATCTTTCGTTAATGCAAGAATATCACATAAAATAG